CAACATGACCCTGAATGAACAGTGGGTCATCAAAGAAATTAAAAGAGAAATAAAAAGATTTTAGAAACAAATGAAAATGATAACACAACCAATCAAAATCTGTGGGACACAGCAAAAGCAGTGCTAAGAGGAAAGTTTATAGCAATTGGTGCCTACATCAAGAAGCTGCAAAGGAACCAAACAAATGGACTCTCCATGCACCTCAAGGATTTAGAAAAACAGCAGCAAATCAAGCCCAAATCTAGCAGGAGGAAAGAAATACTAAAGATTAGAGAAGAAATAAACAGAATTGAAATAAACAAACAAAAAAAATACAAAAGATCAACAAAACCAGAAGCTGGTTCTTTGAAAAAAATAAACATAATCAACACACCATTGGCCCAACTAACAAAAAAAGGAGAGAGAAGACCCAAATCTGTAAAATCAAAGATAGTAATGGAAATGTAACAACAGACACAACAGAAATAAAAAGAATCATCAGAAGCCACTACAAAGAGATGTATGCTAACAAATTGGGGAACCTGGAAGAAATGGATAGATTCCTGGACACATACAACCTGCCTAAACTGAGCTGTAAAGATATAGAAAATCTAAACAGACCCATAACCATGGAAGAAACTGAATCAGTAATAAACGCACTACCAAAAAAAGAAGAGCCCAGGACCGGATGGCTTCACCACCGAATTTTACCAGACATTTAGAGAACAACTAACCCCAGTTCTTCTCAAATTATTCAAACAAATTGAAAGGGAGGGAATCCTCCCAAATTCTTTCTATGAAGCCAAAATCACCTTAATTCCTAAGCCCAGAAGAGACACAACAGAGAAAGAAAACTACAGACCTATCTCCCTGATGAACATAGATGCAAAAATACTCAACAAAATTCTGGCAAACCAAATCCAACTGCACATCAGACAGATCATCCACCCAGACCAAGTGGGATTTATCCCTGGTATGCAGGGATGGTTCAATATTTGAAAGTCAATCAATGTAATACATCACATTACAAATTGAGAAACAAAAATCATATGATTATCTAAATAGATGCAGAGAAAGCATTTGGCAAAATACAATACCCTTTCATGATGAAAACCCTAAGCAAATTGGGGTTAGAAGGAACATTCCTCAACACCATTAAGGCAATTTATGATAAACCAATGGCCAGCATCATATTGAATGGGGAAAAGTTGGAGGCATTTACATTGAAAACAGACACCAGACAGGGATGCCCACTCTCACCATTGCTATTCAATATAGTCCTAGAAGTGTTAGCCAGGGCCATCAGGCAAGAAAAAGAAATTAAAGGGATACAAATGGGAAAGGAGGAAGTTAAACTATCCCTATTTGCAGATGACATGATACTATATATAGGGGACCCGATAAATTCCTGTAAGAGACTATTGGAACTCATAGAAGAGTTTGCTAAAGTAGCAGGATACAAAGTCAACGCTCAAAAAAAAAAAAAAAATCAACAGCCTTTGTATACACAGACAATGCCATGGCCGAGGAAGAACTTCTAAGATCAATCCCATTCACAATAGCCACAAAAACAATAAAGTACCTTGGAATAAATTTAACCAAGGATGTCAAAGACCTCTATGATGAAAATTACAAAACACTAACGAAAGAAATAGAAGATGACACAAAAAAAAATGGAAAAACCTGCCATGCTCATGGATTGGAAGAATCAATATCATCAAAATGATTCTCTCATCACTCTCCCAAAAGCAATTTACAAGTTCAATGCAATACCAATCAAAATACCAAAGTCATTCTTCAAAGACCTAGAAAAAACAATGCTGAAATTCATATGGAGAAACAGGGGACCAAGAATAGCTAAAGCAATCCTATACAATAAAAACAAAGCTGGAGGCATCACAATTCCAGACTTCAAGACATACTACAGGCAGTTATAATCAAAACAGCCTGGTACTGGTACAAAAACAGATGGATAGACCAATGGAACAGAATAAAAACACTGGAGATCAATCCAAACATCTATTACCAACTCATATTTGACAAAGGACCTAAAACCAACCCCTGAAACAAGGACAGCCTCTTCAACAAATGGTGCTGGGAAAACTGGATGTCCACATGTTGAAGTATGAAGCCAGACCCCTACCTTACACCTTATACAAAAATCCACTCAACATGGATCAAAGAACTAGAGATATGCCACGACACCATGAAACTAATTGAGAGCATAGGGGAAACCCTTCAAGATATTGGAACAAAGAATTCCTGGAGAAGACCCGAGAGGCATGGGTAATCAAAGGTAAAATAAACAAATGGGATTACCTCAAATTGAAAAGTTTCTTTACAGCAAAGGAAACAGGAAAGTGAAGAGGCAACCAACAGAATGGGAGACATTATTCGCAAACTACACAACTGCAACAGCATTAACAACTAGAATCCATAAAACGATCAAGAAACACATAGAATCAAAACAAACAACCCAATAAAAAGATGGGACAAGGACCTTAACAGACATTTTTCAAAAGAGGAATTCCAAATGGCCAATAGACACATGAAAAAATGCTCAGGATCCCTAGCCATCAGAGAAATGCAGATCAAAACCACAATGAGGTTTCACCTCACTCTGGTTAGATTGGCTTACATACAGAAATCAACCAACAATAGATGCTGGTGAGGATGTGGGGGAAAAGGGAATGCAAACTGGTAAAGCCACTATGGAAGACAGTTTGGAGAGTCCTCAGAAACCTGAATATAGCACTACCACAGGACCCAGCCATCCCACTCCTTGGAATTTACCCAAATGCAATTAAAGGGGAGAACAAAAGAGCCATTTGCACCTCAATATTTGTTGCAGCTCAATTCACAATAGCTAAGACATGGAAGCAACCTAAAATGTCCATCAATGGATGACTGGATAAAGAAACTATGGGATATGTACTCTATGGAACACTGTACAGCAGTAAAAAACAATGAAATCTGGGCATTTACAACAAAATGGAGGGAGCTGGAAAACATCATGCTGAGTGAAATAAGCCAGTCCAAAAGGGACAAATATCATATGTTCTCCCTGATGGATGGCAACTAAACGAGCATGTAAAATGATACCCATTGAAGTGCAATGGACACTACAAGAGACAATGACATGATCAGCCCTTGTCTAGACTGTTGAGGAACAACTTACATTTTTATTCCTTTCAGTATTTTGTTGTTGCTGTTGTTGTTGTTCTGTTTGTTCTACTTAATACCACTGGTTGAACTCTGTAATCACACACAATCATTCTTAGGCGTTTAAAATTAACAGAAAAGTGATCTCTGTTAAATATAGGAGTGGGAATAAGAGAGGGAGGAGATACATAGGTCGGCACATGCTCACTCGGACTTACCTCCAATGGTGGAACTAGAAATGTGCCAGGGGATTTCAACTCAATCTTATCAAGGAGGCATGTACCAATGCTAGCGCACTTGGTAAAAAGTATAAGTACATAACCGATCAGAAAGATAGCGTAAGTGTCGAAGAGATTTCACAAATTAGACCAGTGTAAGCAAATAATGAAGGATAGAATTAAAAGGGAGGGAATGATCCTGCGGGGGAAGCAGGACACACAGCAGACTCATAGAATGGCAAACACCCCAAACAGCACTCCAGCATCACAGTCAACCCTTGGGGCATTCGAATCTGGCTAAAAGGCCCATGGGAGTCTCACAGGCATGGAAAGCCATGACACGGTGGCAAAAATAGCCTAAATGAAAGACCCTGGTGAACAAGACCCCAGCAGAAGGAACAGGCCATCAAGGAGGGATGCGCCTTTCTTCAAATGGAGGAAGGAGCCTCCACTGTGATACGACCTTGACTAAACGAGTTCAGAGTCGGTGAACTCAAGGGGCTTCCATAGGCTAGACAGCTCATGGCAAGAGCTTTGGGGGATTGCTGACGTCATAAATAAGAGTGCCAATTGTTAAAGCAACAATGGGAGTCACTGGGTACATGCTCCCCACATAGGATCTCTGTCCTTAATGTGTTTTACTATGAAACTTAAAGACAACACTACTAGTCGAACAACACCCTATACCTTGTGCGGTTGTGTGAGTGCAGCCTGTTGAAATCCTTGCTTAGTGTATACTGAGTTGATCCTCTGTATATGAAGGTAATTGAAAATGAAACTCGATGAAGGGCAGGATGGGAGAGGGAGTGAGAGAGGGGAGGGTCGCAGGAGGGAGGGAGGTTGGGGGGGCAAGCCACAACAATACACAAGTTGCACTTCGTAAATTCACATTTATTAAAGAAGAAAAAGGAAAAAAAAGAAAGATAATGGTGAAGCAGAACCTAAGACAGGAAGATGGAGTTACCAGCAGATGACAGATACCAGCCCCCACCCCATTTTCAAATAAAGTTAAAAAAAATAAAAAAGATTTACTGGTTGGTAGACTCAACTGGTTAAAAGTCTTGCCTGAGCAGTGGTGGGAGGGTGGGGGAGGCACAGCAGCAGAAGTGTGAGGTCACTTCCCTCTGGGTCATGTCAATAGCCAGAGGAGGCCAGGGTCAGCGACTACAAGTCCAGATGCAACTTGGAGATGAAGAGGTTCAGTCAGATTCTCAACATCGTCCGGTGCTGGCTCAACAGATGGTGGGGCTGGAGGCACAGCACGGCAGGGGGGGGGGACACTAGGAAAAGGTGGATGCCATGGTAGGAAGCACAGGCACCTCCACGTTCTGACTGGGCTGAGTGTCCTTGAGAGCAACTCTGGCAGCCTATAGGGTGGTGAGGTTCTCCTCAGTGGTCACTGGGAGCCCTCCTGCTTGTCATCATAGGAGAAAGCATTGGGAAGCCGTGGAAATATATTAGTTCTTGGAGGTAAAAGGTCTGCACTGGGCCAGAATTACCACATGGCTGGAACCTTCCTCTCCCTAAGGTTAGTGTCACATTGGGCAACATCTTCAGCAGCCATGGGCTCCAAAGATTAAGAGCATCCATTCATGGCAAAAATATCTTCAGGACTCAAGGGTGCTGCTCCCTCTGGTGTTTCTAGTTCCAGGGGATCACAGTCAGGGACACTGGCTGCATCCAGATTCCTAGAGACATAAGAGTGATCCATCCTCACAACATTGCCAAGAGTAGCCCAGTCCCTAGCAGTGTCTGTGGGAAACCTTCTCCGAGGTACGGTACTACTGGGTGATGTCAGCGGCACGGTGTCAGGGAGATCCACTGGAATGTGGTCCAAGGAGAGCAGGCAAGGGCCAGGGTGCATTGGATGGTCGGAATCCAATGGGGGCCCCAAGGGCTGAAGATCGGGGGCACAGCAACAGCCAGAAGCCTTGGAAAGAGGCTGGAGCTCAGGGGTCACGGGAGCTGTGTTGACCATCAAAACCCCATGCTCCAGCAGGGACTGGGCCTCTACATCAGGAGCTGTGTGTGCAGCACCCGAGAACAGCGTCTTGGTTGGAACCTGCAGGATAGGCTGTTGAGCCTCCAAGTGCTGAAAACGACTCCCACGACCACGACCACGTCTACCAGTTAAGGCACGAGGACCTGGGCTGAGTAGACCGGGGATCTCCAATGGTACCCAATCAGGCTTCTGTGAGCTGCTAGCACCAGCAGCAACAGGCTGGCCAGCAGAGCCTCTAGTACACAAGAATTGCACCGAAACAGGACCCACGGGGGCAGACTGGACACTCCCATCACCTTCCTCCAGAGGCTGTCTAGGGCATCGAGGCCGACGGCTCTCGCGGTGCCTTCTGCCTGGCGCGCGACTCCCTGTTGCTTGCACCCTGCTCCCAGTGGTCAGCTTCCGCATATTTTGATTCTTCTGCACACCCACGCGGGCTTGCGCCTTCTGCCACAGCTCGTAGCGCTCGGGTTGCAGGATACGAACGAAGGGGTCCATGTCAAAGGTGACCCTGGCCTTCCCACAACTACACTGAGAGGCCACTTTGCCATACTCGATCCAGCGCGGGGTGGCGAAATTGATGGCTTCGGCGCAGTTGAAGCCGTGGTTGAACCCCGCGTGGTAGCCGTAAGGAAAGGTCACCATGAACTCGCCAGCCTGCTGAGTGACGCGGTGGAAGGGGATGCCGTTCTGCCGCAGGACGCTGGGCGAGATGAGGGCCACCTTGTGCCGCAGGAAGGCCTGGCAGCTGTGGGAACTGCCCGGGAACAGCTGCCCAGCCAGGCGCTCCAGGCGCCGCCCGTGCTCCGGGGGCACCGCGTACCACGTCTTGGGCTCCCCGAAGTGCAGGTAGTTGATGCTGTACAGGTCCATGTCCTCCGTGTGCCAGGCGAACGTGGTCTTCCACATGCCAAAGTACAGGTAGGGCGTGTTGACGCCCTCGATGACGACGCCGCACTCCTGCGCCAGCAGGTCCAGAGGCGAGCCCAGGCGCCTGAGGTTCCAGTGTGCCGTGTTTTCATCAAACAGAGAGCCGCTGATGCCAGCGCCGTAGATCGGGGCATCGTAGACACGGGTCTTCCAGTACTTTTGCTCCAACTCTTCGAAAGTCAGGTGCGGTGGGGTCTGGTATTTTGTGCTGGTGGCCAGCTGGCGATACTGTCTCAGGGTCATGGCTCTCCTCTTTCTGTGGAACTGAGTGAAGACACCTGCCCCGCCATAGGCCTTCTGCTGGAGGGGGCGGGCTATCAAGATGTCATCCATGTCGTCGTAGCTCTGTCTGGCCCTCCACTCCTTGGGTGGGATGACCTTGGCCAGGCCTCCTCGGTGTGCACCCTGAGATTCCATCTGAGCGATAAATTGGTTGAAGTCCATAAACTCCTCCATGGTTGGGTAGAATGTCATGATGTGGCAGCTGGGGTTCTGGGGGCCGGAGCTCTCAGGCGTCATGGCTGCAAGACAGGAAAGTGGGCAACTCTGAGTCCCCAGGTGTGTTCTAGGTCATCCCCCTAGAATTTCCCCCAGAGGATCTTCTCTACGTAGTCTCTCTTTAGTAAAGATGGATTCATTCATTTCACAGGCAGAATGACAGACACACAGAGAAATAGAGAGAAACAGAGAGGGAGGTCTTCCACCTGCCTATTCACTCCCCAAATGGCCACAACGGTCACAGTGGAAATCAAAGACCGGAGCTTCTTCCGGGTGTCCCAGGTTGGTGCAGTGGTCCACGCACTTGGACCATCTTCCACTGCTTTCCCAGGCTGTCAGCAGGGAGCTGCATTGGCAATAGAGCTCCCAGTACTCGAACCTGAGCCCCTACGGGCTGCTTTGCCACACACAGACGCTTAACCTCCTAAGCTGCAGCGTTGGCCCCTCTGCTTTTTATTCTAAGTGGCTTCATTTATAGGTGAAGCAGTGACACACACTGAACTTTTGAAGAAATGAGAGGTTCATGTCCCAGGCTTGTTAATTCAATAGCAGGACTTCACTGTGGACAGGCCCAGGCCCACAGGGCAGTCTCCCGGTGGAGCAGGCTCCTCACCCATGTCCTGACTCAGTCAGGACTTTCACTGTCTCTGAGGTCTGTCCTGATCCCTGGTAGCTCCTCACCCCACTACGTCAGAAGGTCCTCAAGGAAGTCTACACGCTAACCTTCAATAAAGAATGGAGGTGGGGAGGCCCGGTGTCCTGGGCTGGCCGCACCGACACAATCCAGTCCAGCAGGGGACCTGGCTGCTGCCGCTGCTGTCACCGCTCCTGAGCCTGAGGCCTCAGCCTGCCCAGACGTCTGGAACCAAGAGGCAAAGGAGGCCCTGGCTGCCATCAGGAAGATGCACCCCATCCAGAAGGCCACCAAGAACCCCATCCTCTTCCTGGGAGCCGGGATGGGGGTTTCCATAGTGACAGCCACATGGTCCTTAAGGGGCAGATGAGGGGCAACTTGGGGCCCGAGATACCTTCTGCCATGGGCCACTTCCCACACCTGCTCCATCCAAGACCTACAACATGAAAAATAGGTGCCAGAGAGTGCTGGCATAGCCACAGCCTACCTGTGCGTGGTCAAGGCCAATGTAAAGACCATTGGCCTGGTTACGACCAGTACAACACAATCCAGGGCAACGAGGTGCTCTCTCGGGGATGTACAGGGCCAAGAAGGGAAGTGGGTGGGGTGCTGGTGACACCACCCGGTGCAGCACACCTCACCAGCAGAACACAGGTGCTCACTGTGAACCACAACTGGTACTCGGTGCTGGTGCCACTGCCTGCCTCGGTGCTGCAGCAGAGCTGCCAGGACACTGCCACACACGTGGTCTCCAACACGGACATCAACAAGATCCTGGGCAGGGGCGCAAGTACATGTTTCCTAAGGGGACCCCAGGCCCTGAGTACCCAAGTGACTCCAGCCAGAATGGGACCAGCTTGGACGGGCAGAACCTGGTGCAGGAGGAGTGGCTGACAAAGCAGCAGGGGCCCCAGTGTGTGTGGAACCACGCAAGCTCATGCGGGCGGCTCAGGACTGCAGGCTGACCCACCTCATGGGTCTCTTTGAACCCTCAGACATGAAATATGAGACCGAAGGAGAGCCCCAGCAGGACCCCTCCCTGATGATCCTGACCAAGGTTGCCGTGCACCTGCTGAGCCCGAACCCCCTCGGTTTCTTCCTCTTTGTGGAGGGGGGCCACCGTGAGCACGTCACCACCAGGGTGTAGCTCATCAGGCGCTCACTGAGACTGCCATTGAGAGGGCGGCCAGCTCAGCAGCGAGCGGGACACGCTGACCCCAGTCACCGCCGACCACCCCCCATCTTCTCCTTTGGGGGCTACACATGAGGGGCAGCTCCATCTTTGCGCTGGCTCTGAGCAAGGCCTTGGACGGCAAGAACTACACCTCCATCCTGGAGGGCAACCATCTGGGCTAAGCTCTGAGAGGGGGCAGCCGCCGAGACCTGAACGAGACTCAGAGCAGGTACCCCCGGGTACCAGCAGCTGGCAGCCGTGGGCAGACGCACAGCGGCGAGGACGTGGCGCTGCTGGCGCGAGGGCCGCCGGCTCACCTGGTGCATGGCATGCAGGAGCAGTGCTACACGCCCAAGTCCTTCCTCCTCCAAGTCTGGAGCCCTACACAGACTGCTCCCTGCTGCCCCCCGGCGGTCGCAACAATGCCGCGGGCCCTGGCTGCCATGGCTGGCAGGGCGCAGCTCCAGCTGTTCCTGCTAGGGCCGCAGCGCCCTGACCTGCCCGGCCCCACGACCTTCTCCCACCCCACGGCGCCCACTGCGGAACCCTTCGCCCGCACCAGGTGTTCCCTCCACCGCCCCCGTATGAGGTCCTCAGCCCAGGTCTTGCTCAGCGCTGTCACCTCCCGACCCCTAGCCGTGCCTCTTCCCGCCACTTTCTTCTCCTTTGATAAAGCAACAGCAGTTAAAAAGATTGATAGATGATAGAGAGAGAGAGAGAGAGAGAGAGAGGCCCGAGCTGTAGAGCGGGTTAAGTATCCGGCCTGCTGGCAACACTTATGGGCGCCGGTTCGAGAACCGCTCCACTTCCAATCCAGTTCCCTCCGATGGCCTGGGAAATAGCAGAAGACGGCACAAAGGCTTGGGCCCCTGCATCCCTGTGTGGGAAGGCAGGAGCAAAGCTCCTAGCTCTTGGCTTCCCATCGGCCCAACTCCGCAGTTGTAGCCTTTTGGGGAGTGAAGGAGCAGATAGAAGACCTCTCTCTGTGTCCATCCTCTCTGTCTGTATGTAACTCTGCCTCTCGAGTAATTAAATAAATCTTAAAAAGATAAAAAAAGAACGAAAAATACTTTATCGTAAGTGGTGCAAATCACCACTGAGGTACCATCAAGCCAAACAGAATTGCAAAGGCGATGTTCCTGTCAGATTTGAAGCTTAAATAAGCACGCGTCTAAAGGAGGGGGCCACTGGGTGAAGAAAAACAAGCTTGGAAATAGTGAGTTAGGTACTCCACAAGCGTGTCAATGAATTGGTGTCAAAGCAAAAGTAAGTTTCCAAAAACAATAAACAGAAGCAATGATTATCGACAGTACAACTAACACGGCTGATGACAAGAATCGAAGATTATTCTTGGTACAAAAAAGGAACCACAGAGGAGTAACTCTTTACAAGAAAATAAGAAAATGCATATAAAGCATATTAGGATAAAATATGGCAATGCTAAACGTCTCCCAAAGGCATTTTTAAAGTTGAAATTGAGTCTTCAACACTTTTAGCATAAGGACTTTCTCAAAAGCACAGGCACCAAATATCGTCTAACAGAATAAGAAATTGAGCTACCTGCCGTGGATGAAATCCTGATCCAGGTGAACACACTCTAGGACTCAGAGAGAGGTGGTTTCCCGTGGCCGCTGCAGTCGCAAGGAGGCTCCATCTCTCCGCGCTTCCTTCTGGCTTTATACCTGGGCAAGGTTCGAATCCAATCAGCGCTCAGCTCAGGAAATCCCAGAGCTGGGTTTCTGTCTGACAGCCAGCTTCATTTTGCCCCACCCTTTGCGTTGACATTTGTAGCCAAACTCAAAGGAACATCAGAGTGGAAAATCAAGTGTTGGGGACAGACAACCTTGACAGATACAACCAAAGACATCCCAGGGAGCAACACGAATATCAAACGAATGGAGCGGGTACTTTGTGAAAAGCTTCATTGGGAAGGAAGAGTGACAGCAACCTGTCTTGCATCTGCTGGCTCCCTCCCCAGCTGGGAGCCACAGGCAGGGCTGGGCCAGGCTGAGCCCAGGAGCCAGGAATTCCATCCTGGTCTCCCCCAAGAGGGGCAGGGGCTGGAGTACTTGGGCCATTCCCACAGCTTTCCCAGGTGCAGTGGCAGAAAGCTGGAGTGGAAGGGGAGTGGCCAGAACATTTACTATGGGAGGTCAGCCCTGTAGGGTGTGAACTAATCCTTTCTCTCACCCTACAGGCCCCTAAGGGGACATTTTACACAAAAGTCCTTTTCAAAGTTTTTGCAAAATTCCTTTCTTTAAAATACAATTATTTTAGTGTTAAAAATTGATATAGAAACATAGTTTTTCTTAATATTTTTTTGGCAGGCAGAGTTAGACAGTGAGAGAGAGACAGAGACAGAGAGAAAGGTCTTCCTTCTGTTGGTTCACCCCCAAATGGCTGCTATGGCCATTGTGCTGTGGCTGGCACATTGCGCTGATCCGAAGCCAGGAGCCAGGTGCCTCCTCCTGGTCTCCCATGTGGGTGCAGGGCCAAAGGACCTGGGCCATCCTCCACTGCCTTCCTGGGCCACAGCAGAGAGCTGGACTGGAAGACGAGCAACCGGGACAAAATCTGGCGCCCCAATTGGGACTAGAACCGGGGCTGCCAGCACCACAGGCAGAGGATTAGCCAAGTGAGCCTCAGCGCCAGCCTCTTAATACATTTCTAGCAACTTTTAGAAGATCCTTCATAGTTAAGAAAAAGACGCATTCGGTAGAAAGGATTCAAGTGAGTTCAGTAGGAAAGGACTAAAGTGAAGAAGGTGGAGCCGAGGCTGTGTTGCCTCCACTTAGGGCTCCAGCAGCCCACAGCTGTGCGGGACTCCTGGCTGCTCTGTTTCCAGTGCAGCTCCCTGCTAGCCTCCCTGGAAGATCTCCTCTTTGCTCTGTTTCTTCCTCTCTCTCGGTCACTCTGCCTTTCAAATAAATTAAAAGAACACCACTTAATAAGTAGATGTTGTGTGTGTGAGTACATACCAAAAACCTTTTAAAAAAAAAAAAGAAAAAGAAAAAAACTGATTATGTTATGCAGCTAACTACACAGCACTGAGACTCTGAGAACTGATTTCAAGCTGAAACACCTCAGTTTCCAATCATCCTGGCAGGTGTTTTTTCCAACACCATTTCTTCAGAAACTGCTACATAGAGCAATGAAAATAAGTAATCTGATAGAAATACATACTCATAAAATTATCTTAAAAACCAATCAATTAGAAAAGGGCCTAACAAAAAGGATTTTAATCCTTTTAACAAA